GGCGGCCGCGATGGAGGCCCGTCATAGATCGTACGTTGGGGTGGGTTCCCTGGGATGGGTGCCGGATTGGCGGGCCGTGAAGGCCCGTTTCCAGGTGGTACTGAGGCGGAGGCAATCATCACGGTTTAGGTTGATGGGTCTCCTTGATATTTCCAGGGCCTCTTTAATGACGCGTGGCCACCAGCGGTCCTCGGAGGTTATTGTGCGGGTCTTGTTAAACTCAATCAGGTGACCGGTTTCGGCAGCGTGTTGTGCTAAGGCCGATTTGTGGGTGTTCTTCAGCCGGTCGTGGCGCATGTGTTCACGCATGCGCTCGTCTACAGAGCGACCCGTTTGGCCAATGTACACTAACCCGATACTGCTCGGGATTTCGTACTCTCCGGCGTTCTGTCGTGGGTCCAGGCGGTCTTTCACCTGGACCAGGCTCCTCCCGATCTTGTTGTGGGCATAGAACACCGGGCGAATATCGGCTCTACGTAGTAGCCTGCCAATCTCGGCTGCTTGACGTCTACTGTGTGTTCTGGAGTCCATAGCCCAGTTTTCGTTTCCGTAAAGTCCGCAAGGCACTGCCATAACTTTATAAAACTTTCGCATTGTGTCTTTACGGACCTTTCCTTTGAGCGCTCTTTTGATGGTGCCGCACATCATACGGAATCTTTCTTACAATACCAACTGGCCTTACAATATCAACTTCGCCGAGATATGATACGTCACATCCTTGAAATCTAAAGGTATTAACCTGTTCAATAATTTTGTTTTCTAATATGAATTTACATCTTAAAGGTTGTGAGCCTTGGAATGCCATGGATTTGGTTTTATTTGTGGATATACTTAGATTATATTGCTTTGTTATTTTATATAGTTCATATAGTGCCCTTTGCAGATTATCTTCTTTATCTGCAACTAAAATCTGGTCGTCAGCAAACATAAAAGATTTAATAAAATTTGTTCCTTTAAAATTGTCTTCTATATTAAGTTTCATGATCTGTTGTTTCCATTCTCTCATAGCATTGTCTAGATATAGATTAAAAAGAAATAGGTGAAATGCAACATCCTTGTCTGACTCCTTTATTAATATTTCCTTGGGCAATAATTCCAGATTTTAGTTTTATGTTTATCTGTGTTCCTAGGTATATATTTCTTATAACTTCGATCAAGTGCAATGGTATTCCTCTTTTTCCATAATTTTCCTCTGTGTACACTATCGAATGCTTTACTGAAATCAATAAAGACTATGTAGGTCTGTAGATTGTATTCTCTTCTTTTTTCTATTATGTTATTTTAATACAAAGATATTTTCCGAGCAGGATCATCCATTCCGGAAACCTGTTTGTTCTTCAAGTAAAATACTGTCTACAATGTTTCTCAATCTATTTGCTATTATTTTCCCATATATTTTATATGCCGTATACAGAAGACTTCAGTATACCTCTATAATTTTCGCAGTCAGTTCTTGGTCCTTTTAAAAATGGGTATTACTACTGCTTTCTTCCATTCCATTGGTATTCTTTTTTGTTGCCAGCATTGATTTAGAAAATCTAGAAGCTTACTTTTGGCTTATTATTATTATTGTTATTATTATTATTATTATTATTACCACCACTACTCCTACTACTACTCCTACTACTACTACTCCTACTACTACTACTACTACTACTACTACTACTACTACAATACCACTACTACTAACATACTACTACTATACTACTACTACTATACTACTACTACTATACTACTACTACTACTATACTACTACTACTACTACTACTACTACTACTATACTACTCCTTTTTTTGGGGGGGACATAGTCGGCGCAAGTGCTAACCGAACAAGAGGCCATGTCGAACCGCCCTTCTTACTGTCCTCGCAATAACAGGTTTGGCATCACGTCGGAGGCTGTGAACTGTCGTTTATTCCATGTCTTCTGTTTTGTCATAACTCCCTACGTCCCACCTCCGCTGAGGTGATTAGGGGTTCAGGAGTGTACTCGTGAATCTCTTTCGTCTTTTATTTTGTGCTTAAAATAGTAGACAAATACTTGCTTATTTTGCTCCAGTTTCTGTTGCTTTCAGTCATTTTGTTTATAATGTTTACTGCCGTTATGTCCTCTCCCAGTTGTAGATTGAGGTCGAACCTTTGTTTTTCCCATCTACAGCAGCGGAGAGCTGTGTGTTTTGCTGTATCTGTGGCCTGACAGCGACATAAGTCATCTAACTTTTTGACAATTATGAGCGTGTATACTCCAAAGTTAACATGTTCTGTCAATTCTGAGCGTGTATACTCTAAAGTTACCATGTTCTGTCAAATATTGCGTTGTATGGTTGTTAAGTTGGCCATGTTTTCGTGTCACCCAGGGCTTTATATCTTTAATCAAACGTCGTGTCCATGAAGCATTGAGCGTGTTGTCTCATTCGCTTTGCCATTTTTTAAAGGATTGTTCCCGGGTCGTCTCTTTTGTTGTGTCATCCCCTCTTGCTTTGTGTAATACCTTTCTTTCCTGGGCCAGGATGTGTATTGGTATAAGTCCTGCTTGGACCAATGCTGCCTCTGCAGAAACTGTTCTGTATGCACATACAATTCGCAGCGCCATTTTTCTTTGCGTCCTGACGAGTTTTGTCTTATATTTACTCTGTGCTGCTTCTGCCCATATAGGTGCAGCATAGAGTAGTATATTGTGCATTACAGAGCTCAGTATTTTCTTCTTTCCTTGGCTGGGGCCTCCTATATTTGACATCAATCTGCTGAGTTCGCCAGTTGTCCTTCCTGCCTTTTCGGTTACCATATTGAAGTGGTGTGCAAAAGTGAGTCTCATCTATTACCACCCCTAGATAATTGACTGCTTTGACCGTTTTCACTACAGTGTCTTGAATTTTGAAAAGGACAGGTTGGGTCTTCGTTTTCCAGGCAAAAGAACGGCATCCGTTTTGTGCTGTGCCAAGGTTAGAGAGTTTTGTGTCATCCATGCGTTCACTATACGCATTTGCGTTGAACGTGAGTTCTTCAGTCGTCTTTTCGGTGACTACGATAGCTAGGTCATCTGCGAACGCGATGAGTGTCGTCCTTTCGGGAGTTGTTTGTCGGAGGACTCCGTCAAATAGTATGTTCCAGTGTTGGACCGAGAACTGAACCATGTGGGACTCCTGCTCCCATTTCTAATTCCTTGTCCTTTACAACAGTAATTACTCTTTGGGTTAAATACGCACCAATGATGTTAATAAGGTAACGTGCTATACCTTGATCCTCCAACTCCCTCATTATTGCGGATCAAGACCCATTGTTGAATGCGTTTTTTTTATCCAAGAGTACTAATGCACTCAGCAAGCCTTTGTCGTTAGCTTTCCTCGCTGTACTTAGAACATTGTCAAAAGCCTCATGCGTCGATTTTTGTTGTCTGAAGCTCTACTGTCTGTCGCCCAAGTTTCCTGTTCTATAAATTTCTTCTGTTAGTATCCCTAGTACCACGTGCTCGTACAGTTTGCCGAGAGTATCCAGCAGGCATATGGGTCTATAGCTTTTGAGCGCAGGTTTAGGTATTATTAGAACTAGGCCTTTTTCCAGGTACGTGGGAAGGTACCTCGCTTTAATAATGTTTCTAAGGTACGCTTCGTGTACTCCAAGTCCACGTCAACCAGCATGTTCACTGCTTCCGGCGGCATTCCATCTGGTCCTGGTGCTTTGCCTTCTTTTAATTTCTTTGCGGCGTTTCAGAGCTCGTTCTCTGTCAGAGCTGGTATTTCCTTTTTGTCATTTTCGACGTTCCATTTTTTTCTTGGTGTGTTGTGGAAAGAGACCGTTGATGATATCCAATCTTCTTTCTAAAGGCAAATGTACTCTGGGCTCATTTACGTGCAATCCATCACATTTGTTTCAACATTCTGGCATAGTTGGAGCCAACACTTCCGTTTTTCTAGAGTAATTCTTTTGCAGAGTGTCTTTTCTAAGTTTTTATAGAGACTATCAGGTCTTGGTTCGCTCGGGGAATTTGTTCTTTTCTGCCTTTGATGTTTTCTTCTAGTGGCAAGGACTTTCTTTCTTAGTGCAGAGAGTTCAGGTCCCCACCATGGAGGATCTATTTTGATGACTCTTGGAGCGATCTTGGTGGTTTTGCATGCTTTCTGTTGACGTTTCATGCATTCTGTGGGTGTATAGTTGGACCTTCTGTATGCACTGTCTTGTAGAGACCGTCGAAATATTTTTGTCAAGTTTGAAAGCCGGAGAGGGGGTACTCCGCGGTTCTGTAGATTTCAGCGTTTCCGATATTTTGAAGGTTATATACCTATGGTCGCTAGCTGTTTCTTCATCTAGGACTTTCCACTCTGAAATGCGGTTTGTTAGGTTGTCGGAACAAAGTGATATATCGATGAATGATGTTTGCGTGCCTCTTACAGATGTCGGTTGTGTTCCTGTGTTCATAACCATTAGATTAATTGCTGCAGCCAAATCTGTAATCATTTTTCCTCTAGGGTTTTCTTTTGGAGATCCCCAGTCCGCGGACTTCGCTTTGACGTCGCCAGCCACTATTATATTAGTGCCTTTCCTTCGAAGTTCTAATTCGAACGCGTCCAGAAATTCAGAAAATACCTCTATATGTGTGTTTGTCGAGAGGTAACTGCAAATATACAGCCCTTCCACGTTGACCCATACAAATCCCTCGCGATTTCTATACTCCGTGACTCTAATCGAGGGATCTGTTACTATGATGCCCGAGTCTGAGTTCCGATCAAGGTACCACCCTTTAGTTTTTGCAATATTTTTGTTGGGCTCGCTTATGAGTATTAGGTCGAATTTTAATCTGCTAATCGCTTCCATTAAAATGTCGTGGACCAATCTACATCTATTGACGTTTATTTGTAGAGCGTTAATCATGGTTGAGCGTTTCTTGCCTGTCTGAGAGCTTTCCCGAATGGCCTGCATACTCCAGTGCATGCCCTGTGACCTTCCTTACAAAGAGGACAATAAGCTGGGTTCTTGGAACTGTAGGTACACATAGCATACATTAGCTATGTGTCCCTCGTGTCCGCAGTTATAGCATTTGTTTTTTCTGTCTTCGCCGCGACAGTTTGTTGCAATATGTCCATAACTCCAGGAGCGATGACACCTCCGGACATCCAATCTTCTGCTAACAAAGCAGTACACCATTCCTACCTTTAATCTTCCTATTTTACAGAGGTGCTCTGCAGTTGCTTCGTTTGCTTCAACCGTGGCCGATTGAGTCTCTCCATATGCCGGGCTCATGGATCGGACAGTCACGTCTTTATTTCCTGCTTCCGCGCGCAGTCTTTCTTGGAGTTCTTAAGCTGTTGTTATTGCATCGAGCTGCTTAACATGTAGTATTGTTTTGCGATGATCTACGATACGGACATTTGTGCTCTCAAGTTGCTCCGTTATGATGCTTTTAACTTCCATTTCACCTTCTTTCAATGAAAGGACTAAGTCACCTGCTTTTGTTTTCCTGACGGAGTTCACTTTGTCTAGAGCTCCTGTCACTTGCAGTTTATTTTTAATGTCCATCAAAAGCCCTGCATACGTCGTCTCTTTGTCTTCGCATTATACCACCAATCCAGTGGAAGGTTCTTTCGGGTCTTTCCTTTTTAGCTGTCTCTTGTTCGGTGCAGGTTGGCGTTGAGGAGTGTACACCTGGATGGCTATATTTGTATTTGCAAAGATACATTCCAATGTTTTCCGCAAATCCAGACCGTTGCGCATTGGCATGTGCTATCATTAAGTTTGACCTATTTTGGTCTATTGCCAGTTCTTTCAGTAGAGTAGTGGCGTTGTAGAGACTTTCCCTGAGCTCATTACTGTCTTTTCCGGGTTCCACTGTAATTTGGTACTCCATCCTGGTCTTGGGTAGTTCTTTTCCATCTCCCTGTTTTATTCTGATGCTTCTATATGCTTAATTTGTCCGGTGCTAGAACCAACATCTTCTGCGTCTAGGAGTTCAGGATACTTTTCTTCGTTTTTGTGTTCGTCTGTGACAATACCAATGTCTCCATCTCTTGTTTTTATAGGGTTTCCAAACACCATTTTCGTTCTCTGGAAGTAATCTTCTAACCAGATGCATCTCATTAGTTCCTCCGGCTCCTGAAAGTTATCGGCTTTTCTGATTTTTTCTCTGAACAAGTCCCAACTCGCTGTCTCTTCAAGAAGTACAGTTGGCCGAGAGTCGTCGGGAACAGAGCGTGTGTTATCTGTCGTCAGGTCGCATTGAATAGACTGGTCTACTGGGACCCGCTTGCTTCCCAGGGTCTTTAACAAAGATGCCGGTCTAAAAGAGTCTTCTATCCCTCCTTTGATCTCAGTTTTGGTATTTCTGTTTAAGTTAAATAAGACTCCATTTTTTCTTCATCCCCCGGTGAGACGACAAGATACATATCCTGGGAATTTGTTTCAGCACTTTCATTTACATCTCCGAGATTTATATATTCTTTTCTACATTGATCGACCTTTTCAGATAATACACGACCTTCACGCTTGCCGATGGTATACCTACAGTTCCAATTTCTCTGCCCTTACTCGCTTCACATGATTCCCGCGACAATGCACAACGGTTAGCCACCATTTCTGTGGTCACCCTCCGGTCCGGTCGGAGCGCTGCAAGCCTCTTAGTTCACGTCCACTTCTTACGGGGCGCTAGTGGCGGTAGGTATAGTGTAAGACCCTGCCGCGCAGCGGCAGCAGAATGCACTCTGAATTCCAAGGACGCGCACCAAGGACAAGATGGCGCTAGCCCACGCTAACAAGAGACACCGATTTAAACACGTATAACTCCCTAATTACGGAGCCCCACGCTTTGCTAGCATAAATCGGGATGCCAGAGTGCTTCAAGCATTCACTCTTCTTACCTTTACTGGCAGTTAAAGCCCATAACGTCGAGAGACCGCAACATGCGAGGATCGCACAGCAACACACCTCGTCACGGCGACCAGTGGTGCCAACCTCGCTACTAACTACTAGTGCTACTGCTACTAACTACTAGTGCTACTGCTACTAACTACTAGTGCTACTACTACTAACTACTAGTGCTACTGCTACTAACTACTAGTGCTACTGCTACTAACTACTAGTGCTACTGCTACTAACTACTAGTGCTGCTGGTACTAAGTACTAGTGCTGCTGCTACTACTAGTGCTGCTGGTACTAAGTAGTAGTGCTGCTGGTACTAAGTAGTAGTGCTGCTGGTACTAAGTAGTAGTGCTGCTGGTACAAAGTACTAGTGCTTAGTACGACTGCTATTACTAACGACGACTACTACTACTATTACTATTATATGTTCATGTAGTGTTAAAATATTGTGTAGCCATTCTAGGTAATGAAAGCAAGTATTTGGTGTTGTAGCGTCGCCAATTTTTTAAATTAAAATATTTCAAATGCTGAATATTATATTTACTATTAAAATCCATAAGTATGTTCAACATTAAATACGTAATTGGCAAGGAAAATCAAAGTAATTTAATCTAACGTTAGTTCAAGTACCAAAATCAATTTACCAAGTGAGAGCGTAGGCTTCCGCAGCCGGAGTCCGTATTTACTAGGCTGTCCGGCGGTCTGTATGGCGACCGAAAATTCGGCAACTTCGCCATGGACGCGGCGTCACCCGGAGAGCCTAGTAAAAACATTTTACCAAACACAAGTTTGATTCACACGTTCAGAATCTAGTTCAAATTTTGTTGTCACGAAATAAATTGCTCATGTTGCATTTTCCAATTGGCAAGCATGTTCTCTTGACTATTTTTTTTTAATTTTGCCTTGTAGCCAACACTAGTGCTAAGTAAAAAGGATGCTGAACATTTTATCTTGGCTTAAAGGAGCTGCAGGACAAAGATTTGAATAAATTACTTAAATGTACAAATAAATTACATAAATATCCCGGTTGGTGACTTTCTAATAAAGGAAACATGACAGAAAAAGAACAATTGTTTAAATGTTAATACATTATCCTTGAATTTTAATATGGGAATGAAAAAGAAGCAACTATGTTTGCATTCAAGAGTTCGATAGTGTCATGACATTTTCATTGTAATCATTGTTTTGAATAAGTTGTGCATTGAATTAATATGCTGTCCTTTTACTTTTATTTGAAAATGTGTTTGTTGATTACTTTTAGGTATGAATCGTTTGATTTTCATGCTGAATGCAGACATATGCATTGGGAGAGGCTCAGTATTTTAACTGATAGATTAGCTCATGAACAAGATGAATTTGGTTATTTCCTTATCACACGTGATGGAACATTAGTATCTCAACAAGATGGCATTTTTAGAACTAATTGTATTGACTGCTTGGATCGTACTAATGTTGTTCAAAGTATGCTCGCAAGACGAAGCTTAAGTCATGTTATGGAAGTAAGTTACGTAATGTTCTTGTTTATGTATTAACTGCAAATAATATGTTTTTACCTAACTTGTTTTTAAATTCTCAGAAATTAGGTATTTTGAGGCCTGGTCAACGCTTAGAAGATCAATTGGGGTTTGAAATGTTATTCAAGCAAGTGTGGGCAGATAATGCTGATGTGCTGAGTATTGAATATTCTGGTACTGGAGCATTAAAAACAGACTTCACTCGGACTGGGAAACGTACCAAATGGGGTGTTCTTCGTGATGGAATTAATTCGCTTACACGATACTACAAAAATAATTTCATGGATGGATTCCGTCAGGTATAATATATGTAGAGAAATTAATTTTTTTTCTAGATGCATACCTCACGAGTTACAATTATTTGTTGCGTTTGCAGGATTCTATTGACCTGTTTTTAGGACATTATATTATAGAAGATGGTGAAGGAGTAACTAAACAATGTCCTTTGGATGTTGAAAAAGGATGGAAGTATATCACGGTTAATATTTACATTTTTATAACTTTTTATTTCATGTGTATATTGGAATTTTAATACATTATAAGACTTTCATTGCAATTTAGTAGTATTTGCAAATTTTCTTCTGTTTTAGTTTCCCTTGGTTCTTTTGGTGGCTATTGCTATGTTTTTTGCCAACGTTGTTACACCTTCAGGTAAATATAACATCTTGTCGGGATCTACTAAGCCATATACAAGTCGTGCAGTTGCATGGCACAATCACAAATCTGTGAGATTTTTATCTGTGCACATGTGAATTCTGTGATAGATAAATAGTTTGTTTGCATTCTTAGAATTATATTATTTATTGTCATATTTTTGCTTGCTTCGAGATTATCTTTATAATTCCAGAACTTTCTTCGTATAGCATGTATTGGGTAATGTAATATGGTAATGTAAAATAAATATATAAATTATGTATATATAATAAAATTCAGGGTGGCCAGCGTCCCTGGAATCCTTATAATCTGAATTTCAAGAGCCTGGAAGAACAGCGGAAAAACACAAATATGATTAGAAAACCGGGATTTTTCGTCAACTTTTAGCACAAATTCACATACATCTTATTCGGTGCTGTGGCGCTGGTGTAACGGTTAGCGTATTGGGTTGTTATACCCAAGTTCGCGAGTCAATTTGAAGCAATGGATTTTTAAGGGCGAAAAAATCCTTGCCACATTAAATACAGCATCAATTCAATTCAACTCAATTTTCAGTAAAGTGCATGATTCAGTTCATGATTAGAGACCGGATTTTTATGTAATTACATATTTTGGTCGTTCTTCTTACCGATCTCAAAATTATAATCTTTGAAAATCGTCGCCGTTCTAACACATCCAATTTATAAAGAATCTTAGCTTTTCACAGCCGGAATCAATAGAAGAAAGATTTTCCGGCCTGGTAGACCGTGGTCCAGTTGGCATTGAAGGGCCAAACGTTTCGTCCACGTCTGCAGTGGACATCCTCAGTGGCGGCAGGATCGCGGGCGCAGTGTTCGGGACGGCTGGCTGGCGACTGGCGACGCGTGTTTGTGTTTTTTGTCCCTCTCCAGTTACCCTGGAGGGGCGGGAATTTATTTACCTTTGGAATACATATTTCCTGCAGCCGGTAAGGCTTGTGCAGATTTCAAGGGCGGTAACTTAAATAAACTAACTTAAAATTAATTACATTTCCTCATTGGGAATTGTTTGTTTTGTTTAATCATATTGATGTTCAGATTAGTTCTTTGTATTGGTCTTGTTTCTTCTTTTATTTTGTTCATTTTCGCACGCATTCATTCTTAGGCTATATTTACAATCCCATTCATTCATACCCACAGCACTACACTGCCTTTTAATCGCCACGGCGCCGACTTTACTCAAGCGTCCGTGGCGCCGTGACGTCTTCATGATCAGGCGACGCTTTGCCCGGCGGAGCGCGTTTCCGCGCGCCCGCGCGGCTTCCGGCAATCCGTGAGCGGCGACCGCCCTGCACGCACTTGATTCCCCACGTCGCAGAGCTCAGAGAGCTTGTGCGGGGGCAGTGCGTGGAAGGTTAGGGCGATATGCTTTGTGCCCTTTCTTCTGTGGAAGACCCTGTGCACGCCGCAGTTCGCCGCCTTGCCGGTCTCGCGCAGGATACACGGAGCGGACGGCCTCAGCGCCCTTGCGAGCTCCGTCTCCGCTCTCTTTTGTAGCTCCGCCGGGTTGTTTGCGAAAATTCTAAAGATGTCAGCGTTTTGGTGTTGTCGGTCGGGTCTGGTCGTGTCGGATGTCGTGTTCTCGCCCCCCCCCCTCCTGCCGACTACAAAAGCCCCGGCCGCGCGGAGCGCGACGCCAGTCGCCAGCCAGCCAGCCGCCGTCTCGGACACTGCGCCCGCGACCCTGCCGCCTCTGAAGATGTCCACCGCAGACGTGGACGAAACGTTTGGCCCTTCTTTGCCAACTGGACCACGGCCTACCAGCCCGGAAAATCTATCTTGTACATCCAATTTGTTACATATTTTTACATATTTAGTACTATATTACATGTTTTACTTATTCTGATAATTACAGAAGATATTTTCTTTTATTCTTCCAATGTTTTTATGATTTTTTTTTTTTCAAAATCAGCTTTTTCCTTCATTATTACTGCGTGCTGTGTACCTGAAATACGCTACGTGAAGACACGGTTGAATGTTCTCACCGTCTGGAGCACCTGCTTCAGTTATCTCAGTGGCGGGAAGGACGCGTCAGTGTCATCATTTTCACCATTGGGTGTGAAAAGCCTCACAGCTGCGTTTTGTGACTTTTAAACTGATTTTCCGAGAAACTTTAGCGGTCGCCGAAGTGTATCACTTTAAGCGTTAATACTGCACACTGCAGTGATTGTATGCTGGTCGTTGATTAGCTAGTATGATGGCTTCTATTGCGTCTATAGTCCAGTAAAAGGGTAGAAAATGGGGAAAGTTTTGCATACTTTTGATATTTGGGTCCTCCACACGAATATCAGGTTTGCCAACACAAATTATGCCCTGAAACACGTTTTTTACTTTAATATCAGACAGGTTTCATTTTTTTTAAATAGCTCGAGCAACATGAATTTGGGCGTTTTTATGAAGAAAATTCTAAAAGCGGGATTCATCCAATTTTATCACAATGCACTTCAAAAACTACACAGTTTTAGTAAATATTCTACCATCTTTGAGTGTACTGTCCTTGGTGACCTGCATGGCGATGACTACTTCCCCATTCTGGTCAATTTCGATATTCCTGGCCCAAATGTTGCTCGTCCACCGAGCTGAGTGGGAAACATTTGAGAAAGATATACGGATTTCAGAAACCTCCCAAACGGTATCGTTGCTATGGTTGCTCATTTTACTGATGCCGTTCTAAATGCAGACTCAATTGCCATCCCGAAGTCGTCGGGTCACCCACGGCATCCTCCCATGCCATGGTGTAATACTGACTGGGCCTCTGCGGTGCGTGATCGGGAACAGGCATTGGTAATGTTAAGTAGGTTCCCAGCCATGGATGATCTGATCAATTATAAAAAATCACGAGCTAAATTGATCATACGAGAAAGTAAGGTGGCTGGAGCCTGGAGAGCTTATCTTTCATCACTTTCTTACCGCACGCCCCCCTAAGTAGTGTGGCGAAAGGTTCGACAGGTCGGTGGAAGACTTCTTTCGCCATCTGCCTCAGGGCCTCTGGTAAATGGAAATCTTCCACCTCACCAGAAGATGTAGCTGACGAATTGCCCTCTATGAGCATATCTCCAGCTCCGTACACTACGAGTACTCTCCTAGCTTTCTGAAGATCAAAAGAAGAATGGAGAACTACAGACTAAATTTCTCTAGTGGCGTGGAGGAAGATACAATGCTCCTTTCTCCATGGATGAATTTTCCTATGACCTCACTTGTGCAAAAGATTCTGCTTCAGGACCAGACCACATACATAATAAAATGCTTAAAGACCTACCGGGAAATGCTCGTTCTTTTCTCCTCCGAATTTTCAACTTGATTTAGGATGAACCAAATATTTACCAAGGATTTGGCGTGAAGCAATTGTTATTCCAATCCCTAAAAAAGGAAAGGACGGAGCAATTCCTTCAAGTTACCGCCCTATCTTCCTCACAAGCTGTGTGTGCAAACTTTTAGACCAAATGGTAAACAAACGTCTGGTCTGACTCCTAAAACAAAGGAATTTATTTACACCTTTTCACTGTAATTTCAGGAAGCACAGGTCAACCAGGGACCACTTAGTCTCCCTTGCCACTGACATCATCTCCACTTCTTTCGAGCTACAACACCTGGTAGCAATTTTTTTCGACATAGAGAAAGCGTATGACACCGCCTGGAGGTGCGGCATTCTTGGGGCCTTAGGGGACGGCTCCCTTCATTTCTAGATTTTCTTTCCTGAAAAACTTATAGCGTCCGCCTTGGTGGCACGATATCCCCACGTCATCAGTTAGAAAACGGTGTTCCATAGGAATCAATTCTGAGTGTCACTGTTTGCCATTGCTATCAATAGTGTCGCATCAGTAATTTAAGAGACTGCGAAAGCATCGCTCTTCGTTGACTTTGGCATATTCTCCTCGAAGTTTATGCAAGTTATTGAGACGTAACTACAGTTTGTCCTCAACAAATTGCAAGAATGGAGTGATAAAACTGGATTCAAGTTCTCCATCTCAAAATCCAGTTGCATGGACTTCTGAAGAATATATCACCCCCAGAATCGTCCTGATCATTGGAGGGGGGACGTCAACTTCCCTTCGTCGAATCTGCCACTTTCCTTGGCCTGACATTCGTCAAGAGTTTAACATGGCGAAAGCACATTCAAAACTTGAAGAGCCACGGTGTATCACCATTGAAACACCTTCGCTCTCTTACTGATAGATATGGGGCGCAGACCGAGTATGTCTTTCGCGCCTGTATAGGACTATTATCCGTCCTATCTGTGATTATGGATGTATTGTCAACATATCCATCGACCCTGCGGTCATTGAATACCATACACAATACCGATATACGGATCAGCACAGGCGCCTACAGCACGAGTCGCATTGAATGCCTCTGGGCCGAGTCCGGTGAACCATCCCTGAGCTGAAGGCGAGATATTGTAATTGGCTCCAAAAGTACGAAAGTATCAGCTCTAAATACTCCTTCGCGCTAAGCAGTTCTTCACCCAAGTCACGGGATATCGTACGAACTCAAACTATCGTTACCCTATCCTCTAGGTATCGTCTCGACACACTCTTGCAGAAACTCGATATAAAACTCCCCGAAGTGAGGTTCCCCCTTGGAAGCTTCTCCGGCCTAAAATAGACCTGAGATTATTACACTTCCCCAAATTCTCAACTCCCCCAGTACATTTCTGGTAGAATTCCAGGAGACGAAATCCATGTATCCCGGCTAAAACTTCATTTACACCGATGGTTCCTCCCAGAATGGTAATGTAGGGTGTGCCTTGTACTGCCATGCGGAGTCTTCGACTAGACTCTTCGTGCAGCGTTTATACTGCAGAAAAATATGCGCTCTTTGAGGCATTCAAGTTCGCTGAATCGATAACATTAAAAGAAGCTGCGATCTGCGGTGATTCAAAACGCTCGTTCGAAACTATTTTCTGCTTCTTTTCTTGTGACCCTCTGACAATAATCATTCACCAATCCATAATTTATTGGCTCGTCGTTATAATTTGGT